TACCAAAAATTGTTATCCAACCAAGCAGTGACGAAGAAACAACGACACCCTCGACATATCTTTAAAGAAAAACCTCCGGGATTTATTTATATGTGCTAGTGATATAGCTATTAACTTTTTTGACACTACAAAAACAACATTCCTAATGACTTTTTGAGAGAAAGCTTTCATATATATCTGTTTAAAAAAATCGTAACAGAAAAATTGTTGGAAATGCTGCTGGTTTTTCAAAAGTGATTGTTCATCAGACTCTATGTGAAGGAACACCCCAGTCACCCTGGTTGCAGCCATTTCCCTTCCTCGTTATATTTTAAAATTTTAGGTACAAAAATTCCTTGTTATAAAATGTTAACCCAAAATTGTGGCGTATTCACCACCTTTAACTCCCAAGCCTAACTTCCTCGCCAATACAGCAAAATCTGTTTACTCTGACAATTACGAATCACTGGTAGTGTTTTTGTGATCAAATTTTGTGATTACTTATGCTGTATCGATGCCGAGAAGTCTGATAAGGTATAGATCCTCAGTGCACATACAGTAGCTCAAGGCTCTGTGTGTTAAGCTTTAGAAATGCTCACTGAGGCAACTACTATTAGGTGGTGTGTGTGTGTGTATGTGTGTGCGTGTGTGTGCACAAGGAGCTAACTTAGCAAAGCTGGGGCTCAGCACTCCGTGATATTAGTTACCACTTCTTGACCTAACGAAACAGCACCAACTTTTAAAAAAGATTTAGTGAAGAAGGGATGCTTTCAAATCATTAAGGTATAAATTTATTTTGTTAACTCACATCACGACAATAGCAATATATCAGAAACAGTGAGAGGATAAAATTCTCATATTCTCTTTGGAGCCAAAAATTTGGTACCAAGTGCTTTAAAAAAAAGGAGGAATGGCGCCTCAGGCTCCTAAGCTAGATTTGCTCCCAACCATCTATGGATTATCAATATGTTCATGGTTATTTTTGTGTTTGGTGTTATTTATCCGGTTCAAATTCATTGTTAATTTTCTTGGTAGATTAATAGGCATGTAGTTTTTTTTTTTGGTGAATAAAGTGGAATATTTGTTTGTTTCGTCAATGTTGCATTATTGTGCCTGAATCAACAAGTATACGATGCACCAATGTTGCCTATTTTGAAGGCGAAATCTGGCAATGTAGAAACAGCTACAACGAATATTCAGCCAAAATTTATAACAGCTTTGCTATTTAGCAAATCCTAACAGAACATATACAACTTAATCACCAGTCTGAAAAAGAGTATACTGATCACTGGAGCGAAATCCCTTTCAGCTGTTCGATGCAATTATCCATATATTTCTCCTTGATGTTTTCTTTGTTCGCAATAATTTCCGCTCGAACCTAAAGCCAAATTATAACCACTGTACTGTGCTTTTCGATGAATACTATATAAAATACAAATGAAATATATAAACAAACCTATCCTGGCTTTTTGGTACCATCGGAAATTTCTCAATACCAGTAACCGAATAGTAGGCCCAGAAAACAAAGCGCTCACTTCAGAATCAATGCTCAGTGAGGCCTCATTCTCGGCCACACAAGTACCACAAATGTGTCCCAATGACTAACGAGCTATAAATCGCCAAAAAAAAGAAGTAACCGCTTCAATGATCCATTTCAACATGTGATCACGGGCAAAGCTTCGTTTCACAGCTTGCGTCTCCAGCAAATAATCCAAACGTCGCTTCATTTCTGAAGCCAACAGTTCCACATTTCTCCTATAGGTAGCTTCCAGCTGTAAAGCCAAAGTCTCCTTGAAAACCGCCGGATAATGCTCCTTGACTGCAGCATAAGCGATCTTTCCCGCTTTCGAAGTCTGAAACGGCAGAGATATCAATTCGAAAAGTATGCCAATGCAGATAAACCATCGACATAAGCCACACTTCAATTACCCAAGCAATGACTTCTTATCTCACTTTTTCAAGACGTACAGAAAACGATTTCCTGTAGCCAAGATCACCAGGAGAATTTAGCAAGTTCCTTCAAACAAGATCAACTGCTCAATCAGGCATACGTCATACTACGATCATTTTATTCAGTATTTATTGAAATTTATAATACACTAACATAATACTCCTTTCCTCCGACACCACTGGACCCACAGAATGTAAAAATAAAGCTCTCTGCAATGGGGATTTTGCGAACATAATCGATAACGTGATTAATATCCGATAAATGACGGGGGAGACAAGTCTGGAACGAGGGACATAGACTTCTAAAAAAAAAACCACTGATAGTCCAGCCAGCAGAGGTCGCATCACTCGAGCTATTTCCGGCTAAATCCCCCCTCGTACAAAGCGAATAAGGAGGAAGCTTTGGCTCTAAATAACAATACATACTTAAAGAATCTCAAAATATTTGAGAATTGCTGGGCAGTGCGAATTTACCTCCTGAACAGTTCGGACTGCTTTGAAATTGTTGTCAATGATGTCCAAATACTTCTTCTCGACCTTCTTGGCGTTTTCATAGAAAAATTTGTCCCATCGATCTGAAAAACGTAGTAGCATTTGTCCCCATTGGGACAATTAAAGTGAAACGATCCCCATCATGGCAATTTTTTAGGCGACACCACCAAAAACAGAAGTTGGAACAGACAGTGCATACAGTGTTTTCTTCTACGTTTTCAGTGCTGGAAATAGTTGCAAACGAAGGTCGATGTTCACAGAGAACGCAAAAAATGCTGCTAATGCGAGAGTGCGGAACGAATCTTACAATCGAATGCTCGTGAAAATATATAGTAGTAGAAGATGATGATTAACACTTTCACACGATCGTGCGCAATCTCGAAGAGGCCTTTCGAATGCAAAAATGCATAAAGCATCGCAAAAAATACGTACGGTCCTGAAAAAAAGGGCTTAATTCACCATAATTGAAAGCATAGCACATGAATTTTTCCTCTCTTCTGCATATTTACAATTTGTGATTACATCCTGTGAGGATTTTCTAAGCATCAAAATCTTTAGACTTACCGGAGGTGCCAGTATATTTGTGAAAGGCACTCATAAATGTATCCGGTACAATCATCAATCGCAATTTTGGTGGATACATTTGCTTCAATGGATAAGGATAATTCACCTAAAAAAAAAACCGGACACTTCAATTCTTCATTGCTCCAAATAGTAAGCAAATAACTACTGAGACACAACTGGGCAGCAATCATTATCTAGATCACCCAGCAACGGGATAAATACAAGAAGCACTGGAATAAATACATGAAAAAAAAACAGCTGAAAAAAATAATGAATTTTTTGTAGGCAATTATAATTCGTAACTTTTCTCTGAACAACCAAATCAAAAGTCAAGTCTATTTCACTGCTTACCAAATCCCGTTCC